TGTATTCGGTTTTCTTCTTTTCGTCGAATTTCTGATAGGCCTATGATATCCCATTTTATGTTTGTTGATTCTTCTTCCAGTTCATGTACTTTTTCATCTGTGGACATTGATCTAGTATTGCATGTCCCTATTGACAGGTTGACGGATTTTTTTGATTTATTACACATACAATTGTAGGTAACTAAATAAAGATGTTACGTTAGCTGTGAAGTAGAAGTTAAAGCAGAACTAGACTTTATGGGGATAAGTGAGAAGTGAAAGTGTTTTTCTTTTTGCATGATTTTGTCATAATTCGGCTGCATTTATAAGGCTGAAATTTTTAGTAATGAAGAAAGATAGTCATTCTACAGCCTATTACGAATACAATTTATTTCTTAATTTCAATATTGAAAATGTTTGTTCGTACAAATAAGTTATACCGAACATAGCCATTATTTTTTGCATTGCATTTCTGTTAGATCAACTTAAAGGTTGGCAGGGCGTTTTATCGACGCTGACAATAAAAGGCATGGAAAAAATGTTAGCGGCGGTCAAATTTCTTAAAATTTAAAAGTCTCTTCTGAAATTCTTCATGCAGTTTCTTTAGTTGTTGGGAGAAGCTTAGTAGGATTTCTTCTGAGACAAGCATCATACTGCTCATTTTGGAAAAATGTGTGAGGTCATTTTCTCTATATATCTGGAAAATAATTTAAGCTGCAGTATGGAGGCATTTAAATGTCCCCAAAGCCCATCTAAGAACTAATTCGTGCCTCGAAGCTTCGTATTTAATTTATTTAAGTATGACAGCAAATCTGTAAAAAATGCAAAATCAGGAAGCCAATCTTCATCTCAGACATTATTTTAAAGCCGTTCCATTTGCCTTGCTCCGATAAAAAGTCCTGAATCTGCTTTCTGAAATTCCATACCTCTCAAATAATGTGTAACCGCAGCTTAACTATCTCACTTTAGTATGTAGAGAAGATTGGAAAATTCACTTTCGGTGGAATATAAAATCTCTTTGAATTGTCTATGCATTAAACTCATGAACATGCAAGTTCACGTGAACACAATAAACATTGTGTTTATAAGTTTAACAACCACCCTCAATACGGGTTGTATGTTAAGAGCTGCTTTACACAACATCCAGTGCAGAAATAATACATTATTATTAGAATTTTCTTTACAAAATATTCCCATAAACCCTTTCCTGCTCATCATATTGGGTGCTCCATCCGTGGTTGTATAACATAATTTTTGCTTTAGGCAAGTTTAACTTTGAAAAACACTCAAAACCAAAATCATAAATATTTTTTCCTGTAGTATATTCCTTTCAGTGATTGCAAGCTTGCTAATTCTTCGGTAATACTGAACTTTTGAATAATTTTTCTAATAAATATTAGCAACTATAGTAGTATCGTACTCGTCTGGGCTCTCGTCCATGGTTATTGAAAAGTATTTTAAGCTTTTGCAGATTTTTCCAACTGTGACGATAACAGTTATCGTTACAGTTATGCTCCTTTCATATTACACGATTTCGCTCGTGCGGGAAAAAATCGCCCGGGCAATTTTTCTTGATCGACTGTTAAAGAGTACGAGACCTTTCACATTGCACGATTAGAACACGGGCACGTTTGTAATCGTGTTGCAGGCCGTCCAGTGCTACTAGAACCGCACGGCTACCGTATCGCCCTCTAGCTCAGTGGCCTACGTGACCAAACGTACGCTTCCACACTAGACGGTCTTTAGTCGTACGGGGACTGTCCCCAGTATTGTTTCTACCCGCGTTCAGTTTTGGTGGTTTGTTTGCAAATTATGAAAGGTATTGACGCTGAAGTGTTAATATCCCTAGTTGAAGCAAAACCTGTGATATGGGACAAAACCTTAGAAATTTTATAAGGATAGAAATGCAACAAGGAAAGCTTGGGAAGAAGTATGTTTAGCACTCAATCCGGATTTAGAGAACAATCGCGATGGAGAAAAAATGCATTTGGTAAGTACTATACCTATTAACTTTCTATTAAGCAAAGTAAACTTACTTTTTGAACGTATGTATATTGTATTTTTTAATGTATATTGGTGTTGTATGTATTGTACACTCACTTGATTACTATCTACAACAGAGACACTTTTTATTTTTATTTCATTTATTTATTTATTTTCACATATATGACAAATTATACTTTAGACATTTGCCAGGATACACTTTCGACTTCTGTCAAAAAATATGAGGTAAGCACACTTCTGATATTGTTTGCTTCCAAGCCTCCTCGTGTAGTGCTTTCTCCTGATACATCTTCCAGGCCTATGATCGTCATTGTGTCCTCAACAAGATATCCGTCTCTGTCACGTACATAATTGTGCAATACGATGCACGCATTGACGATGAGCACTGCGAAATGTGGCTGAACGTTGATAGGGCGATGGAATATACGCCATTTATTGCTCAGGATGCCAAACGCACATTCCACATATCTTCATGCTCTGCACAATCTATAATTAAAGACCCTTTTTTCAACTGTTAAGCGTTTCCCTCCAAAGGGTCTCAGTAGATGTCTGTGTAAGCCAAATGCTTCGTCTCCAACAAAGAAATATGGTATTTTAGGACTCTCTGTTCCTGGAAGAAGTTTTTCCTCAGGTAATGGTGGAGAACCACTGTCTATTGATTTCCACAATTTGGACCTCTTAAATATTGACGAGTCACACTCTTTACTATAGCTCCCTACATCAACGTAAACAAATCTGTACTTTGTGTCTGCTACAACCATAAGGACAATAGAGAAGTAATCTTTGTAATTAAAATACATTGATCCTGAGTCAAACGGACAAGTCAGTCTTATATGCTTGCCGTCCACAGCTCCAAGGCAGTGAGGGAAGTTTGCGATACTTTCAAAGTTGAAAGCAATTGACTGCCACATATCACAAGTTGGTGTCGGTATACACTCTTCTCGCATTTCTGACCAAATCTCAGCACATACTTCTTCAATTATGTTTTTTTGCTGTTGAAATTCCAACTCTGTAGCTGTAGTGCAAATCCGTAAACGTACAGCCACTCGCCAAATATCTGAAATAAAGTGAACATTGTCGTTAATAATTATCATACTGAATTGATTGTATTTATTTATTTTATTTTTGTTTTTTACAGGCAAAGAAGTGGGTGAAAAGGTGGACTAATCTCCGAGATTGTTTCGCAAAATCGAAAAAAGATGACAAATCTGCTAAAAAAAGTGGATCTGCGGCTAAAAAACGTAAGAAATATGTGTTTTCAGACCAACTTCAATTTTTGAATAAGATTTACACCGAAAAAGAAACGGTAGACAGCTTCAACCCAGAAATTGTACCAGGAACACTCGAAGAAGATGAAGAGCCTGAAGGCACCACTGGTGAACCTGAAATTTCTACCAACGTAAACCTACCATCCAAGCCCGTAGGAACAAGGAAACGAAAGAAACTATATGAGGTTGAGGTGAAAATGTTCAAAGCTCTGGAACATAAAACGCCCTGCAGTAAAATGTCCTTCCTTCAGAGTTTAATGCCTCATTTGACAAACTATTCCAACAGTGAATTCCTTCAATTTCAAGTGGGAGTGTTAAACGTAATAGAAAACATAAACAAACTAAAGGAAACTCCTCATCTTCAATCAAACAACCCCTCTTCTGTGCCCTCTTATCAACCACAACCTCAGTACATGCTTCAGCCATCTCCCGTTAACCAACCGCAAGCATTTGTCCATGTTCAACAACCTCCATTTAAACCTCAACAACATGCAAATCCTAGTTTTTTGGGCTACGTTAAAAATAGCGCACAACAATTTCACTTTTCTCAATATGTACGTGAACAGCAAAATCAATCAAGGCCAACGCAGCAATCAACGCCTAAACAATCAGATTCACAATCCGAACTGGATAAAGCATCCGCATCTCAGTACCTACAGGATTTAGTTACAGCAACTCTTTAGCAACTGAAACTGAGCATAGTCCGTCTATTTCGGCTTCACGAGATTCCTCGATGTCTGATCTATTTTGAGTGATTAAAATTAAATAAAGTATATTTGCTTATTCAAAAGGTTTTATTATATTACCTACTACTGTAATATTATGCTTACTTAATACTGTAATATTGCTTATTGCAACTTGTTCGCGATCCATAATTTTCATCCAGACCAGACCAAATGTTCCGATGAAGTGATAAAAATGTACGATTTTTATCGTTCAATGTGAAGTAGCAAATTCACGATTAAAAATCGGGCGATTTTTTCTGTATTTTTCCCGCACGAGCGAAATCGTGGTAATATGAAAGGAGCGTTATTGTACAGCGATACCGTCAATTCGATCAGTTATCGTCCTTCCTAATAAAGCTTAAGCTAACTTGTTACTTTTTTTTTGAAAAATTATGTTGCTTAAAGCTACCATACATTCTTTAACGAATTCACCATCCGATAATGCTTTCTTACTTTTAGTAATTTTGTAAGCTACAACACGTATATACCTTGCCAGTGCTGCAGCAATTTTTTTTTCATAAACAAAATTTTCTACAAATTTTCAATTGGTTTTGTATATCCTTCTTCTGTACGCTGTGCAGCGTGGAGGCGTTCATGGTTGTATTATGCGTAAGGATACTTTGTCTATCCATTCTTTGGAATATTTCACTCGTAGTTTCATTTTTCCTTAGTAGTACAATTTCTGAATCTGTCATATTTTATTTTTTTATCGTTTCTTGAAATTTTATATCTTACTTATATGTTTAAATTTAGTAGGTATGCGTTTCTTCTTTAACACTCTGTTTTTACTGATATAAACAATTATTGGCACTGTATAATTAGTTTTACTGTACTGCACTTTACTACCTATAATTAGAAATTTTTGATACTGTATGTATAATTAGAAAACCGAATATAATCAAAATTTGAAAATCATAAAAAATCAATTATTAACACAATTCTTATATTTTATAGTTAAAAATTAAAATTAATATTATTATTAATATAAATATTGCTAATATAAATTATTTTTAATATTTTTTAGTGAGTTTGGCGCCTACACTTGAGTCGTTGAAAAAAGCTGATATGGCAACCCCGCATCCGTTACGATACTACTCAGAAGGATTTTTAACATTTAACGAAAAGGGCGAAGCTGGAAAATTATGCACTGAAAGTATTAATAAAAGTCTACCACTCAATCAGTCCATTTCTGTTTTAGCAGCTGCCGCGACGTCTCTTTGTAAAACATTAACGTACGAGTAAGTAACTTTATTAGTCAAAATACGTATAAAAAATAAAACAAAAATAAGATTTACCTTTTATAGCTAATTTCGATTATTTTTTTATTTTAGAAACATGGTTTCAATGAAGATCGAATATGATTTTGAAGAAAACGTACCCTATGTTAGAATGAGAAATCCTACAGCCTCTGAGATTAGTTTCGTAAGAACAAAATGTCCTTCAAAGCAAGTTCTTAAAGTTACATGTTCGGATCTACGTAAGTCTTTTATTTTTCATAGCTTTAGGCAATATCTTGACAAAACTGAAAAAAAATAATAAAAAGTGAAATAATATTATTTGAAATATATGGGACAAGCAAGAAAGTATGTTGTAACGATAAGACTACCAAAGAGAATTGAAGTACTATTGTAAAAATAATACCTCAATCAACCATGGGAGCTAAGATCTCTTCTCGTCTCCCTTCGCGCCCGAACGAGTTATTATTTATTATAGCTGACAGCTTGTTAACTTAATTGTAAACCACATAGTATATTCAATACATTTGTAGACTCTAAATTTGGTTTTTATGTTCCTTCCGGCCGATTCAGACAGAGACCAGAAGAGTACCAAATTTCTGCTTATGCATATCTCCGGCTTCTAAAGTAAGCCCATACACTCAACTCTTTACAGGACCTGAGACCTAGAAGTCCTTAACCCCTATCCCGGAAAGTCCTTACCTTCTTGTAAAGCCACGAAGGCGAACGATATTCAGACTAGTAAGCCTTGCAGCCGCTCGCAGGGATAAGCATCCTTAAGGTTCATATCGAGGATGTTCCAGTGGTGACAGCGTTGTACAGTGGTGAAGATTTTCTCACCCTTTAGTTCCAGATATTATAATAGGGTATACACAACCCCGACTTGTATAGTGGTGACAGCGGTGGCATAGTGGTGAAGATTTTCTCACCCTCTAGTTCCAGATTTTACAATAGGGTATACACCCCCGACTTGTACAGTGGTGACAGCGGAGCGCCCCAGTACTTGTACAGTATGTTACATAGATTAACAGAAATTCCGATATCAAAATACAACTTTGAGACAGAATTAAATATCATTAAGCAAATAGCAGTAAACAACGGATACAACGAACAAACAATTAATAAAATGTTAAATCAAAAACTACACAAGAAATCCCAGCAATTAGTATTTCCACCACCAGAGAAAAAACCCAGTACCTTCTGCTTGAATCCTAGGCAAATATTTTAAAAACAACAAGAGCCAAAATAAAAAACACTTACACAGTGGCGATTGTTCAAAAACTTACATGGGTCAAACTGGTAGAAACTTTAATAAATGAATAGCAGAACATAAGGACTTTCAATAATAGAAAAATAGATTCTACATACGCACTTCACCTTCTAGATCACAATCATTCTTTTAATGACGAATTTAAAATTCTTCACATTCAAAATAAAGGCCTTAAGCTATCCTTGTTCGAATCTAGGGAAATCAACAAATAAAAAACACAGATATAATTCTGAATGGCCAACTTGAGACAAACAGTTCTCCCCTCCCCAACCTATTTCATTAGAGACTATAAGTGTAAATGCATGCCAAAAATAGATCACTTGAGAAAGGCAATCAGCCGAAACAGTAGATAAGAAGTGTAGTTATAAGAAATAAATTTTATTAAAAGTTTCAAAACAAAGTTTTCAGTGTTTTATTGTTACATAAAATGAATTTCCATCAAGTAATGGTCGAATCCATCAATTATTCTATGATTACTTTATTTTATTTATATCTCCTTCTCTGGTATTTTTCGTAGTACGATTGCTTCGGTCTGCATTTTAAATTAATTTTTAAAATGTGCTTCTATGTTTAATGCGTCCACGCTCCTTTTGAGACCGTTTGGTCCTCATTGCCAATTATAGATATTTGGGAGTAGACAGAACTTTTTTTTATTCCGAGACTTGTAGCGGCCTACTACGTTATATATAATGATAACTACGAGTTTTGGTCAATCAACACTCTTGTTAATTACGAGCTTCCTTATTAGGGAAGGGATTTAGGGTCCTTTACATATTGTCTGCAACGGGAAGTTAACTATTCGCCAACGACATAAATATCTCGAACAAATCTTTTTAGAACCTAATCAGGTAACAAACTTAACTTCAAAACGAAGATCTTTTGAGTAGATGCCTGGAAAGATCTACGCGGCCGAATGACTTCCTTGAAATCTACAACTTCTCGCATGTGTTGATTTTTGGTATACTTCGTGACCAAGTTTGCTGTTGAGATTTTGTTCGACTAAAATATCTAAAAATACATTATGATTTTTTTCTGTTTCCATGGTAAATTTAATCTTAGAATTTTGGAAATTATAAAATGTAAGAAATTTTAAATTTACGCTCCCCATAGTTACAAATCACAAAATTGTCATCCACATAATAGAACCACAGAATGGCATTTTATGTTATTGTTGTTGTATGTTGTTATAATTCTTATTGTTTTTAAATATTTTAATTGTTTGCGGAAGATTATGTTCTTGTTTTGTGCTGTTCTACTACAGTACATAAGTTTTATTAACTACTATTAATTTTGTAAGGTGATATAAATTTTATGTTTTCAGAATGTGGAATATCCGCAACTCATAGGCAGAATGGTCTAAAGACTTTATCAAAGATGGCCCAGCACGGCGATTGGCCTTGGCATACGACTCTTTTTAAAGAAGACGTCCATATATGTGATGGTACTCTGGTCTCTCCAGATTGGGTGGCCACAACAACATCCTGTTTTCAAGGTCAGCCTAAGGCAGAGTGGACTGCCAGGTTTGGGATAACCCGACTGTTCAGGTAAACAATACAGGTTAAAAGATTAATTTTTTCAAATTTTATTTGAAATATTTACCTACGGTAAGCTAAAATTCCATTATTCGTCATTAATTGTGTAACATAACAAACTATGGACAGTGTTTGATGTACATAAAATTAACGAGGCTACGTTTCTCAGAGTCGGAAGAGATGTGGGAGTTGTCCTTACGACAGTCTTACTACTGTTACGAACATGCTTTCGGCATGACTCATATAACGGTTGCATCTTGAAACGGCTTCGAGAATTCATCACCAGATCTACTCTAAGGCAAAAGGAACGTGCGCGAATTAGAGGTGGGAACTTTCTAGAACATAGTAACTTAGGTATATATATGTAAACGGACCTTAGAAGTAAGTTTAGTTGATAAGAGAATACCGAAACTGTAAAGTTATAAATAAATATATTTATATAAATTCGAACCGCTCGTTTTTATTTAATCACGCTACAGTTGGTGTCACCGGTGTGAGGACAATTGATTTATTTAAAAATAAATTCAACAGTGAAAAAAGAGACTTTTGAACTTTTGAAAAGTATTGTTCGTCGGGAACATCCGCGTAGTTCGGTAGTGATCGTTGTACGAAAGAACATTTAAAAAGTACGTGTGTGCCCGACCAAAGATGCTGCTAGTACAACTTTCAGTAAAACAGTTGCGTGAGCAACTAGAAGAACGCGATGAAGATTGCAGCGGGTCCAAGAAGATCCTCCAAGAACGACTAAAGAATGTATTTAATAAGAATGGAGATGACCCAGAGACATTCCAGTTTTAATCAGCAGAAGAAACAGTTTTAACAAAAATGAATGAGAAATTTGAAAACGTCTCTCAAATGATTGACGAATCTTCAAAAAAAAATGATAATAAATTCGAAAATGTGTCTAGAAGATTCGACGAGAAATTTGAAAATGTCTCGCAAATGATTGAAGAAACTTCTAAAAAAAATGATGATAAATTAGAGAACGTTTCCAAAAGATTCGATGAGAAATTCGAAAATGTATCTCGAAGATTCGACGAGAAATTTGAAAATGTTTCTCAAATGATGGAAGAAACTTCTAAAAAGAACAATGAAAAATTTGAAGAAGTTTCTAAAACATTTGATAAGATACAGAAAAATGTAAACGACAAGATAGAAGACGTAGAAGAGAAGATCAAACAGTTAGAGAGCATGATAACTAACACAAAAATGCTACCACCAGTTAACACAGTAGCTTTAGATCCGGTAGTGAAAGAAGAATCACCTAGAGACGAAATGACACATCATATGAGATTCAAATTGCCACCATTTGATGGAAAGTCCTCTTGGTCCATATACCTTAGACAATTTGAAGCTATTGCGACAGCCAATCATTGGACAGAACAAGAAAAGGCTGTTTCCTTGACTGCTGCTTTACGAGGTGATGCTGCAGATATCCTAAGATCGATTCCTAAGGGTCAAGAAAAATGTTACCAGACCTTGTTTACTCGACTAGACAAACGTTACGGAGATGCCCATCTACAACAAGTCTACAAGGCTACAAATAAGAAGTAGAATTCAACGAGCAAGTGAGAGTTTGCAAGAATTTGAAGCAGATATTGCTCGTATAGCGCTGTTGGCCTATCCAGAGGTACCAGACAACATTTTGGAAGAAATTGCTGTAGATGCCTTCGTCAATGGGTTGAGAGACAGTGAACTACAGAAAGCTTTACGACTAGCAAGACCGAAAGTTTTAGATGAAGCGCTCGCCATTGCTTGGAACATGAGATAGCTAGTCGAGTTTCACGGAGCTATCAAGTACGAACCTCTGAAGAGAGTGACGAACGAAACGATAAACGTCTGGAGGAAATCGTACGGAAAGTAGTTCGTAACATGATGCCGAAGAGACGTGAACCCAGATGTTGGAATGGTAACAACGAAGGTCACATTCGCCACAAAGTGCAAGAAAATAATACAACAGTCAGAAAGCTAGAACAGATCGAGCACGCTAGAAAAAGTCATTCAAATGCTGATGTTCAATCAAGACGGCCATACAGTGAAAATCGTAATCATTGTCTTAAATTAGAAGAACGACTTTGCCCCGTGAGGCGAACCACCGTTATTAATGATCAATGGCAGCCTCAACAGCTACAAGACGCTCAAGCAGATGATCCATGTATAAAAAGAGTATTGGATTGGGTGCGTCGAAGTGAAAGACCTTCTTGGCAAGACATTAGTGCATGTAGTCCCGAAGTCAAGTGTTACTGGAGCCAATGGAATTGCCTAGTGCTGAAAGATGATCTTCTGTATAGAACCTTTGAGAACGATGATGGTACAGAAACTAAGCTTCAGTTGATTGTACCTAAAAGTAAAGTGTCAGAAGTATTGCGTCAGTTGCATGACGGTGCATCAGGTGGACACTTTGGTATTACGAAGACTCTGCAAAAGGTTCGAGAACGGTTCTATTGGGTGAACTGTAAAGATGATGTAAGAAGATGGTGCCGGAAATGTGAACTGTGTGCAACTAGTAATGGTCCAGTTGGTAAAAAGAGGGCACCCATGAAACAGTACAATGTTGGTAGTCCTATGGAGAGAGTAGCAATCGACATTGCAGGTCCACTTCCAGAGACGAATGATGGAAATAAATATATCCTGGTAGCCATGGATTATTTTACGAAATGGACTGAGGCCTATGCGATACCAAATCAAGAAGCTGCTACCGTAGCAGAGGTACTTGTTAAAGAATTCTTTAGCCGATTTGGTGTTCCCTTGGAGATCCACTCCGACCAAGGGCGAAACTTCGAGTCAAACCTTTTCCAAAACGTTTGTAAATTGATTGGTGTCAATAAGACCAGAACGACACCCCTGCATCCTCAATCAGATGGAATGGTCGAGAGGATGAACCGAACGATGGGTAAACACCTGTCCAAAGTTGTATCAAAACATCAAAGAGATTGGGATCAGCACATTCATTTATTCTTAATGGCATACCGCTCGGCCGTGAATGAAACTACAGGCCAGACTCCAACCTGCCTGATGTTAGGTCGTGAAGTTCGTTTGCCCTGCGACCTAGAGTTTGGCTGCAGACCTTCCGAAGAACATGTTGCAAGCGAAGATTATGTCGACCGTCTGAAGTTAAGAATGAACAGCATTCATGAACTTGCCCGACAACACATCCAGTTAGCCAGTGACAGAATGAAACATACGATCTCGATCAAAATGAAGCATGAAGTAGGTGATCTTGTTTGGCTTTATAATCCACAACGTCGTCGTGGCTTGTCTCCTAAACTGCAAAGACAATGGAGGGTCCGTATGAAATTAAAAAGAGAATAAATGACGTAATATACCGAATTAAGAAGTTGCCGAAAGGTAAACCAAAAGTAGTTCACATAAATCGTCTTGCACCTTATGCTGGCTCAAATGAAACGAAGAAGTCCGAATCCTTCAACATGAGATCAAAGATAACCGGCGACCAAGCTTTAACGAGTTTATGTCAAATTACGCAGAGAGAAAGAGTGCTAGATTCGGCGTGACGACAGAAGTTCAGCAGGATCTGTTTCCGCATAACGTCTCTCTAGCCCACTGTGTTGCCCAAGATCTTGAGATGACTAAAGGAATCTCATCTGTATTTTATAAGAAATTCGGTCGCTTGGACGAGTTAAAAAACCAGCAGCCTAAAGTTGGAAGAGTACTGAGATTAGAAGATGGTTCTCGATCTTTGCTGTATATGGTGACCAGGCGATACAGACAGGGCAACCTACGAGGATATATGGTGTGCTCTAACTAATTTGAAGAAAATTGTCTGCAATTACGACATTAAGAATTTGGCCTTACCCAAGATAGGCCATGCACTAGATAATCTGGATTGGAAGATTGTCAGAAGCATGATTGAAGTGATCTTCCGAGAAACCGGCGTAAGAATTACTGTGTGTTGCACTAATCCGAAGAGAACGTGTCCTTCAAAGACAGTAGACTGTTATTTCTTTCTGAGGGGTTCATGCAGAGCTGGAGAGTCCTGTCGATTCCGCCATCCTGGGCCTACATATAGAGTCGCTGATCGGGACGCTCAGATCTAAGAGGGGAGCAGTGTTACGAACATGCTTTCGGCATGACTCATATAACGGTTGCATCTTGAAACGGCTTCGAGAATCATCACCAGATCTCTCGAAGGCAAAAGAACGTGCGCGAATTAGAGGTGGGAACTTTGAACGCATTATCTGTCAAGAATCTATGATTTACCATAAACTAAAATTAATGTTTACATTATTTAAAACCCAATTCAGTTGTACAGGACGAATAAAAATTATTGCGTTTTAAATTAAATAGAATTTAAACAAATATATAGGTTATTTGAATCGCTACAATTGTTAATAATTAAAAACAACACCAAGTTATTTGCAGAAAATGTAAAGATTTTCTTTTCGTAGATCACTATTATCTATCAAACTTGTCAGATACATGGATTATTTAATTTAAAGATAGTAAAGAAAATTAAAATGTCACAATAAAATATCTTTAACACCAATATTATGAAACTGAATATTTAAATTCTCAAACATGATTTTTTTTTACTAATTTGACTTGTGTAAGGCTACTTACTTTTAAATCACGTACAAATACTTTTTTGCGATAGTTTTGTATATTTTTTAGTTCAACCCCTTGGGAACAAGAGAGAAGAATTATCGGCATGATAAAATCCCCTGTAGAAGGTAGTACCATAGCGCTTATTAAACTAGACAAGCCTGTAACCTTGAACGACTTTGTAAGGCCCGTATGTCTTCCTAAGGAGAACATGGGTTTACCATCCGAACAATTGCAGTGCAATACTTTAGGATGGACCAGAAACAGAGAACAGCTTCAGAGAGTCCAGGTCAAACTAGTAGATAAAGAAAAATGCGAGAATATCAGTATATCCAGTGTCAACAGTATCTGTACTGAAGCGTTTTATGGAGAAAATGATTGTAATGTAAGTATTTGTTAAAGATTTATATGTTCTGAAAATGTTTTTTTTATATTAATTTTTGCTTTTCTTATCTTTTCAGATCCAAGTTCTATTAATGCTTTTTTCAGACTTTATCTAACTCTTCCCATGAGTACCATATCGATCGTGTATGCTAGTACCTACTTATGTTTAAGTCTAGGCTATAGTTCATATTTAATACCACTTGTCTTGAATGCTCCTTCTAACGCTGTGTTGATGAGATTGATTAACTTCTGATTAGTATTTTTTCTAATCCCCGTTATCACTTTGATTGTATTTTGATACCTTCTACAATGATTTTTGCTTAGGGTACTTTCCATTGTCATTTAGGTTATTCTGATTGCATTTGCTGGAATGCCTTTGTTTTTCAATTCATCTGAAAATTTATTTGCTCTCGATGCAGCAAAAGGTTTTTTTGAAACATAAAAAGAGGATGCTTGAGTTCTCTTTTGTGGTCATCCTAATTTAAAGCGTTTTCTGTTGCAATCTTCAGTTTTTAAATCTCTGGCTGTCATTGCATCTTCTCCATTTTCTCTTCGTGGCCGTCTTGGTCTACCTCGTTTTCTTCTTGTAGGCGAAGTCCATTTTTCTATCTTTTTTGACCATCTATTTTTAGGCATTTTCTGAATGTGTCCATACCAGTTTAGTCTTTTAAATTCGATCTCCTTTTTGTAGATGTTAATATGTGCTTTTGTCCATTCCAGAGGTAAGTCATGACATTATAGAATACAGAATACAGAAATCAGATTCGTATTGAATCTTCGACTTCCTTTACTGTTATTTCATTGTCTTCATCATATTTCACTTTATATATTGTTGTAATGGTGTTCGTGAATTGCGGTCTTGTTTCAGTCAGAAGTTGTGAGTAATGTTCGTTTCAAGATCTTGCTTCTTTGTATTAAATCTATTCTATTCACTTCTTTTCTGTTTGTTCTCAGGTTTTTTCCGTTTTCTATGCTTCTCTTGATCTTGTTGACCCTATATGTGTTTTGAGCTCTTCGCATTTACTTTCCCAGGAAACATTTTTTGTTTTAGTTACTAGATTTTATACTCTTATGTTTGATCTTGCGTAGGTCCGTCTATCATCTGGGTCATTTGTTTGCAGCCACTTTTGATATGCTTGTTTCTTGTTGTGTAGTGTATTAGAGAATGTAATTTCTTAATGTACATCTATGACCTGTTTACGTATCTATAGTAGTTATAGTAGATACTTTAGTAGTAATAGGTACACGTGCTGTAAATAGATAAACATATATTGAATAATTTAATTTTCAGGAGGAAGAATTTGCAGGTAGCCCCATGATATGTCAGTACAAAAAAGATGAGAGATGGTTTTTAACAGGAATCACTAACTGGAGAATAGCTTGTGCAAAAAATGGTTCAGAACGCCCTAGATTATACGACAAAATATCGTCAAACGTTAAATGGATTAAAGACACTATCAGCAATGACGAAAGATGAAGCATAACAGTAAAATAATGATATAAACGGACAAATTTTCGAGCAAATAAACATTGTTTTACTTCTGAAGGTTTGCTTCGGAAAACCAGTTTTGTGATTTGAAGTTTGAGTTGTGCCAATAAGGGAACTGATTTTAAAAAGGATATTAGTCAAGTTAAATAAAAATCATCAATAATTTTAAGCTAAGTAATTACGAAGGTTGTTTTGTAAATTCTTAGATAATCTAATACTTTGCTTCTGAAAGAGCTCTCTCTTGCTATCGCTCATTTTCTCGAGATTTGAGTATGAAAATATCTTATCCAAAAATGTTTTAATGTGGGAAAAACATAGTTTTACTTGCCAGTCTATACCTGTAACGAGAGTTTACCAGGTACGCTAGATATAACAGATAATATTATGATCGGGAAGGGTCTATATATATATATATATATATATATATATATATATATATTATATATATATATATATATATATAAATCTGTACAATAAAACAATACTCTTTGATAATGCTAACAACATCTGTTATGGTTGTATTGTATTGAACTATTTATATTAGCATATTATAGCTGCACCGCATTATACCCTCCTATGATTACTCTACTTATGAGTTAACAAATGAGGAGAACAACTGATATGTTATATATTAGTTACAAATTATTTATCATACTTGATTGCTAATCTTCTTTCAGATTCCAAAATTTCTTCTCTAAGTGACTTTAGAAAACAAACTCACAAAAGTTTCACCACAAAAAACAATGCGAGTTTGAACAGGTAATCCAGTATAAGTATTTTGAAGCAGGTATAACAAATATGTGGGTAACACTATAAAGTTAATAAATAATTATTACCAACAGAGACTCTTTAAGTTTATATAACACTGGTTTTAAGTTACGCCTTGTTTGCAACCATATACTAGCATGTTCATATCATTTCTGCCATTGGCTTATTGGCATCATCTTACTCGAGTATCGATGTCATTTATAAGCGAAGTGTGCCTTGAGATCTGTCAATTGGGCGCTCAAGTGATGATTGGAGTTATAGAAATAGCAGTCCATGTGCTAGACTTCCCATAATATTTTGACATCCCATTGCTCTGTTCGACTTATCCGCCTGTTTTCTTACTTCTCGCTTTTTTGTGTGTAGATATTTTGATTTAAAAATAATTCATGTGTAAGTTCACTTTTTTGGCTCCAGATCAAAAGTGCCACTCACGTAACCGAACCAACACTTTTTTATCTGATAATAAGGTTTGTTGAATTTTTTCAAGGAATTGCTGACTAATGTCTCACATAGTAAACCATTGCCAGGCCATTGCCAAAGCGTGAGATTACTTTTAGGTGGTTGGGCTCTTTCTAATATTCAGTAATATTCTAATATTCGAGAGTAGCAAAAATATAACTTTGGATCAAACACTAACTTCTGAAAATGATTTTTGTCAAACTGTTCATTGTAATATTTTAAACACTGTCCATGAAAGCTTTTATTGGGTACTTTTATAAGATTGAAAATTAGTACGGTGATTTTTTTTCCACATTGCAATACATCACATTTTCTAAAATTTTCAGAACAATCTTGTTCGTATAAACAAAATTATTGATGACGCTTATTTTAGCTGCTGCAATGATATTCGAAAATAAATATACAACTGTATTGTAAATAAAATTCATAGATTTGTATCTTTTAAAGATAATTTTAATTGTATATATTTTTAAAACAAATTGTGACTGATAATCTACATTCTATTGAAAATATTTTAGCACATTTTTAAATTCCAGGAAATTGACTAAAGTATTTTATTATTTAGAGTTGTCGGAATTCCAAAGCTGCTTAGAACAAATTATATGGTTTTTATCGTTTTGGATGTAGCAATAAAGTTCACTTGAAATCCGAGTTAATTTATAAGAAGTATATCCAACACAATATTTCTCAATAATGACAAAAGTTTTCATACATGTTCATAACAAGTTTTGACATCTTAGACTATGACAGTAGAGGCCTAAGTTGTTTACCTGGGTCGGGTTACAAAATCATCGGGATAGTTTAAATCGGTTGATCACACAGTAGTAGTACCACTGTTGTGTTAACATCTAATTCAAACTATGTTAGGATTGCCACCCAGGAAACCTCATCTATTACAGCTTTACAGCCTTTTAAGGCAAGAATAGGAACTTAAATTGAAATGTAATATAAACCTACAGAGAAATTTGAGAAAAACCAAATTTATATTGTTACCAAGAGGGAAATATATTTCATACGAATTTAACAAACTGTATATTTTATCTTGTTAATTATTTAAAATAAAGGATTTTTTGTTTTTTTTTTGTGTCTAAAAATGTAACACAGTACCTTAACACTTATGAAATAAAGAAGAAATACAAATGACATTCTTACATTGCGTCTTCTTCTTTATACACTGTTCTTGTTTTTAAGCGATGACTATCGTCTTATTAGAATTGTGATGAAATCTGTTGAAATTCCCTTAAAACACGGTAAAAGTGAAACTATTAGATAAGGATAAATAGGAAGAAATGGAGCTGCTTAAGTACATACAGAAAATAATATAGGATAAGTGCACTAGTAATGGACACCCAAGAGAAAATTTTGTACTATTTTTATTCGTTCTAATGAAGTATTTGACTTACAATTTTTTTTACTGTGCTAGGATACTAAAAGGTATATACTTTCATATACATCCAAGTAAATAACTAAAAAAATTGTTTTTCCAAAAAAATATTTTTTGCTACACAAATGCCAAAATCGCCAGTAATGGTCACAAAAACTCTAGTGATGGACTCTCGATAATTTAGTAATGGACACTTTATCAAATATATTTTATATAAGCTTTTCACTGCGTTACATTGCTGAAATTTTTAACAACCATTCAAAAAAAACATAGCAAAATGTAAACTTATGTCCCATGGGCGTAGCCGGGGGTGGTTTCGGGTTTCAACCCCTCCCCCCCTAAAAGTTAAATATTAAGATTTATAAAATTTTTCTTATGAATATAAGGGTTATTTTATGTATTTTTTGTCGTTTTATTTTCTTAACCCTCAAACTAAAACCTGGCTACGCCCGTGATGTCCTACAAAAAAAATGTTTCACTTAAAAATTGTATAACGCACTTTAAAGAAAACTAGATAGTTCTGGTACTGAGTAATAACCCCGTTTGCCTTTAACTAATGGTTCCCTTATAATCTTTTTAATGTCCTCATAAAAATAAAATAATACATCTTCTTTTTCTGGCCATTTTCCAGTCATAGCCTGCTTTTTCCATTGACGAAACTTCTGCTCCTTCCTGGTTAGCTTTTATCACTTTTCCTAGAACAAAGAAAAATTTTGATCATTAAAACATAATTCTGTTAGGAGACGGAAACAACAAATATATTATAGTTATAGAATGTTACCTGGATAAAGATTTCCATTGTATTTGATAATAACAAAATCTCCATCATGAATATTCTTCGTATAATTTTCAACATCACTCGCATCTAGATCTTCATCACAGTAAGGAACATCATCGGCAGAAGATTCAGATTCGTTTATTACTTTTCTCTTTACTGCAGGCTTTTTTATTTTAATTTGTGATTGTTTTGAAGGGCCACTTTTAGACGTTATATTATCATAATGGGCCCTGTAAAGTGTAGTGGATACAACTGCTGGAAATATTTTTCGTTTTCTTTTGGGTGGTTCTTTTTCAGGAGTCTTAGGAAAAATGAGACAATTTTTGAAAGGAGTGCTAACCACATATCCTTGGTCTTCTTTGTCCTTATACAGCGCAACGTTTTCTAATTTATCCGGTGAAAGAAATGACTCGAAACATTTAGTGAAGTAGTACTTTTATCTTGTAAAATAGTGCTGTTCCCGTTCTGTGACTGTTCTTCATTTGGAAGAATTACACTCTCTTCTCTCTGCTTACCGTTTGGAGTTGAAGTTGACGCTGTTGGAACTGAAAACGATATTGACATTTCTTCATTTCCTTCCATTAAGTTAGAGTCATCCTCCCCAGTGACATGTTTATGTTTATTTGTTACTAATAAAGCTTCATTTTTAAATTCTGCCCAAACCTCATAAAGTTTCTTAAATTGTAAGTCTCCCTTCCAGTCATCTTTATTGTCGAAATTTGTTCTGAAATGATTCAATTCAAGTGGTGGTATTTTTTTCTCAAGTTCGGATAATATATTCCCTTTTGTAATAATTGTGTTTTTAATATCTGATAGATTTGTAGGATCTACAACTTGCCGAGTGGAAATACATTTGGTGTAATCAACATTGCTTTTTTCAAAAGGAAACAGTCCACATTTTCTAAAACCGTTGCGTATTGTACTTTCCGTTGCATATTTTTTAAAAACCGTACTTAGAATGGTTGCAAATGTATACTTTGTTACATCCTTCGGAAAGTTTTCAAATTTCCATGTTCTTACTATTGTCTGCCAACCAGTTTTTAAAGGTTTAAAAATTGAAACATCGGCTGGTTGGAGAATATGAGTGGCGTTGGGGAAAAGAGCAACCAGGATGATACCACTTGCTTCACATAATTCGCTGATTTGTTTAGTTAGATGGGACCTATGTCCATCCACGAAAAACAAAACAGGTTGTGGTATATTTTTTTCTTTGAGATAGGGCAAAAAATGGTTGCCGATATACTCATAAAATACTTCCGAGTTCATCCATCCGGAGTCTGATCGTCCCACTGCCCATTCTGGTGGTGCAGAATTAAACTATATCCTTTGGTATTTTTTTGTACGGATATATGACCATTGGTGGAACTATGATACCATCGGCTGAAAAACAGGCCATAACAGTTATTTGCTCTTTTTCTGCATTAGATTTTCTCTCATAAAAGTCTTCTTCCAATTTCGCCGGCCCAAGGACAATACCAGATTTAGGATCAAGGCTAAATCCGGTTTCGTCTGCATTGTATATCCTATTTGGGTATTTTAGTATGCCAATCATACCTTCTTCTTTTAAATAGTTTTCAATTTCATTAAACCATTTTTCTATATCAGCTTTAGAGACGGCAGCTCTTGATTTTGCAATAGACTCTGCTCTTCGTTTTTTTATCTCAGGATGTCTTCGAAGAAAAACAGCGAACCAAGTTTTCCCGGGCATCCCATCTTAAAAACAGTCGACCTCCCAGTTTCTTTCATAATTTTATGCACCGTGGAGAGTAGATTTGTTGCATTAACAGGAAAGCCCTTTCTGCCCATAGACAAGATCCAATTAGCTAATAATTTCTCTTCGCCTTCTGAAAGAATAGTTTTAGGCCCGTTTTTCCTTTAAGACAATTGTTTTTAAGTCTACTCTTTAAGGTTGTTCTAGGAACACAAAATTCTTTAGCTGCACATTTTTTGGACATGCCTTCATTTTTTACTGCGTCTATAGCAAGGCTCATTTTATCTTCCGTTCATTTAAAAAAAAAGACCTTTTCTTTCCTCTCTGGGTATCCATGTCTATAATAATAAGAAATTACAGGTTACTTTAAATTCTTTAAAGCTCTAAATTCGAAATGGATAAAGAGACCATTAATAAATGATTGTATTTTAACGATAGCCACCCATAATCAAAAACCTCCACAATGATGTATTAAGCAAACAAACATAAATAAAAAATAACACATAATTTTTAAAGCGCTAAATGGATCGAATATATTGGTGACCATTAATAGATCATTGTATTTTAGAAATGGACACCCGTGGTGACTATTTCTAAATTTCTAACAGAATTTTCATTCAGTAATGGTCACCCATGATCAAAAACTTTCATAATAATGTTTTTAGTAAATATGAATAAAAAATACAAAGTACTTACCCTTTAAATGTGTAACAACACAAAATAAATATATAAATTTAATAATACGTTCACGGCACTAATTTCAACCCAACGACTACACAACTTGTCTGATAGATCAAAACAAACTGATTTTTGGCGCGCCAAAGTTTTACGCATGACAGTTAGTCAAAAACCATTGTCAGATGGCGCAGAGTTCGTCCTTGTATTATGGATAGTATAATCAACAGGGTAATGTAAAAATGTGCGGTAAAATGTAATAAGAAATGAATATAATGACGTTAATTGGCTTAAGGTGACCATTACTAGCGGTATGTCCATTACTGGTGCACTTACCCTATCGTTCAACGAAGTGGAAGACATTATTTATTTGATTCGAGATTCTTGATCAACCTCTGCGTTACGATCGTCGTTAAGAGATTCGGCTTATCAAAAACCTCGATCAATGTCTGCACTGCGAGCGTCGCTGGAGACCTGATACAAGTGTTCGCACACAAGGATATAAAAAAATTAGTAACAGTAAAGAATATAATTGAAAGGAATATTATTGCCAATAATTGAAACTGAAAGGAATAATATTGCCGAATTCTACCAAAACTCTATTAACGGCCCAGAAATTATGAAATGCGAGGTAGAACACGCTTTAAATAATGCTAAAATTAGAAAAGCTCGTGGTCCAGATGATAAACCAGCTGAGTTGGTGTTGGTGGAAATGGGCATAAAAATAAACTCAAACAAAACCAAATTTTTAGTGTTTAGTCGTGACCCACACCCCGATGCAAAGCTCCAATTAAACGGAGTCCAAGTTGAGAAAGTTCACAAAATGACATATTTGAGAACTGTGATAATGGACCAACTAGACCCAGACATAGAAATAAAACGTAAAATAGCAATGACTAAAACTACTTTTATGAAAATGAAGTCATTTCTTTGCAATAATCATCTCAGTTTAGATCTAAGACAAAGATTGGTTAAGCGTTATGTCTGATCCGTACTTTTGTTTAGTGTAGAAGTGTGGACGCTAAAAGTATCGATCATGAACAAAATTGAAGCATTGGAAATGTGAGTTCATAGACGAATGCTGAAGATACCTTGGACAGCAAGGAAAACTAATAAATAAGTAATCAATCAAAAGACTGATATGTTTTTTGTACACACTTATGACAAGTCAAAAGAAAAGGTAAAAAAGTATTTTTTGAAGTGTGTATAATTTTAAATAATTCCTAAATGAGCGCTTTCGGCTTTACAAAGCCATCTTCGGAGCTACGGTCAATTTATAAATACCACTACAATGGAGAGATCTCATTTCCTTGTATGTCGAAATATTGATTTTTTAGTTGTTAAAATTTCTTAAAAAACATATAAAAAACATAAAAAAAAACCGACACTGGACTTCACAGACACATTAAAAATTGAAAAATTTTTTTGTCATGGTACGGGTGTAAGAACCCGACCATTGATTGTTGTGAGGAGGTAGACAGAATATAACTCTTTTTTTACTCTCTAATTTTTTAATGTGTCTGTGAAGTTTAGTGTCGGTTTTTTTATATGTTTTTTAAGAATTTTAACAACTAAAAAATCAATATTTCGACATACAAGGAAATGAGATCTCTCCATTTGTAGTGGTATTTATAAATTGACCATAGCTCCGAAGATGGCTTTGTAAAGCCGAAAGCGCTCAGCTAGGAATTATTTAAAATATACACACTTCAAAAAATACTTTTTTTACCTTTTCTTTTGACTAATAAATAAGTACTAAGGAGCGTCAACAAAGATAGAAAACTGCTAAAGACTGTTAAACATCGAAAAATGTCTTATCTGGGACATATAGTAAGGGGAAGTCGATATAAAATATTACAACTGATCCTTAAAGGCAAAATAGAGACCGTAGAGGTATAGGAAGGAAACAGGTTTCTTGGTTGAGGAACATTCTGGTGAATGGATTCGGATATCAAATGTGGGACAATTATTTCATATTGCAGAAGATCGAGAAGCCTTCGCAATGGTGATGGCCAACGTCGGATAATTCTGTAATATCGTAAAATGTTTAAGGACAAAGACGTAAGAGTATGTATAGTTCAAAACAAATTGGAAGTTAATAAAATTATAATCAACGAATTCCACCTGTTACCGACAGAAGGACATCCAGGAATAAATAAAATGTACAAAAACATAAGGAAATATTATTTTTGGAAAAGGTTACGGCAAAAATAATGAGAAATATGTTAGGGGACGTGAATATTACGACTAAGACATCCCTTACTATTACATTGACCGTGACTAGCGCGTTTGATACAATATTTAGTGATCTAAACTAATTTTCCAAAATTAATCAATATCTTTATGAAAGACTTCGAGACCCGAGCACTATCCACATCAATGCTCAAACCCACATTTCAAACCCATCTGAATGGTATACATTCTAGTATCCAGTTGACGATGAAGATGGAAACTAAGTCATCCCTACCGTTTCTCGACATTATCGTAAAGAAAAATCAATCACAGTATTTTCTTTACTCTGTTAATCAAAAACCCACCCATGCCAATCGATACTTGCATGCCCTCTCATCGACCAATTTCACAAATTTAATTAAGTCATTAATACACTTGTCTCCAGATCAATACGCCTTTGCGATGATGCCAGTAGGCCCGCTGAGCAATAAAAGAGATCACGGCATACGGTAACCTTCAACCTTCGAATCTATGGAGACCTCTCATAAAGAAAATATCGTCCGCTTCACCCGCCAGTCAAAATCTTAATGTCAGAAATGTTCGCGCCAATCCTCGAGCCCATTCCCATGCTAACCCCCACGGCAACCTCCACTCAAACAACGTCACCATCGACGGTATAAATGAACCGTCCTCTTGTTCACAGTAGCACCGATACATTGGTTAGTGATCAGTGTAGTGGTGTCTGTTGGCTCGGGGTACTGAGACCTCGGAAGCCCTGAAGAAGACATTAAAGGAGATGTCGAAAGCTCGGCGCAATGATAATCGACGCGGTTCAATTCGAAGATTGTTGAGTTTAATACTAATTCTTGTAATAGTATTATTCTTAGTTCTAGGTTTAATTATTTTAACGTAAACGTAACCATAACTTTGCAAACGCATTCATTTCCAAAGAATGTGACAAAAAAGCTATAGAAAATAGTAAAAAAGATAATTAGTAGTATACATTTTTAATAAACTATAAATAAATACATTATCATTATTATCACTATTTAAGTACCAATTTCAGGTCATTCAGGTTCGACGAACATAACACTTTTTCTTGGTACACCACTTGGTACACTCTTTCTTTGTGCCATGGCGAGTGTATCACTAGGCTTTCTTTTTATTTTTACAACGGGAGATCGCTTGTTGAAAGAAGAGCTAGTTCCAACTTGAGCAGCTGCAGAGTTATAGGAATTAAAAAGATTGTTCAGATTTAAGTTCACATTACTTTTAAGTTGTTGCGATAACTGGTAGTCGAACTGTATGGAGTTTCTGACTGGAGTGGCAGGAGGCACATCATTCATGGACTTCACCAGTGACCGCTTGTATATATTTTCTGCTGTCTCAATTTGGAATTTAAATTCTCGAGCTTCTTCAATAAAAGCAGATGACGTGCTTTCTAGCATTCGCGTCAAGTAGAAAGCTTGTTTTAGATAAAATAAAGGCTGCAATGGGAGTCCAAATTTATAACTATCTTCGGCTATGTCGATATATATCGTTATAAATTGGGTTAATATTGCCTTGGTTTTAAATATATCGAATTGTTTTTCACATGTCCACTAAAACAGAAAACATTAAATAAAATACTTAAATCCATTATACAAAAATATTTTTGTTTATAATGTATTTTTAATAATTTAATAGAAATTAATTTTTTTTATATCCTTTAAGCCCCATATAATTTATCTTTTTATATCTTTGGCTGCGTATCAAACGGATTTTATCATAAGATTGAATTATAAGAAAATACTAGATCAGCCTTTCAATGAATTAAAAACTTATCACAAACTGGATTACTGTAAAGTAGTTTAGTAGTAAAGTATGAGATTTCTGGAAGCAGTGGATATGCGAGTATTCTGAAGAATGTTAAAGATCTCATGGCAGATACTTAAACCCTCTTAGCGGGTCCATTGTATTATCCAGTATCATTCGGATTGGATCTGCGATGTCCTGATCTTCAGATCATTTGGAGACCTAGCTATTCCGAGCATCGCATATCCACTAGGAATAGCAGTAGCTCAGATTGTGAGCCCGTCCGAGGCGTTTTATCCCATAAAATAAACTTATAGCTTCAAAGAAAGCCACGATAGCACCTTAACAGTATTTACTTCGCTTGGCATGGGTGAATAAAAGCCGAATCGAACGACCTTGATAGGCCAATGTCGGGTATTTACAAAAAATTATAGAAGAGGTTTGCTTTTCGTTGTCAGATAGGACGGCATCTTGGATTATGTTACGTTCAAGTAGATGTAGAGAACGGATGATCCGTTCCGTTACCATTGAGCATACGGACCACCAAATCTTCTACGGTTAAGAAGGAAGAGTTAAGTTGTAAGACTAAGAAGGTCCGCTATATGGAGTCTAGCCTGTCATAACTCCACCAGCTAGCTTAAGCCTTTTGGAACCTTTGCAAGAGAAGCTCCTTGATACAACGCTAGATAGTGCTAAAGGGTACTCCAATAATAGGTTCTCCTGTGAATGGTGACTGCTTAGTTATCGTGGATGAGTTATAGTAGGTCTTGTAAGATCAGTCTGCTCATTCTCTTTATATCGAATTTTCTCGAAGTCCATATTAAGTTGACTTTGTTGATCAAGAAAGGGGCAGCTAGTTCTGGATATTTTCAGAATGTTTAGAACTATCTGACGGTCAGATCAAATAGAACGGCTCTCTTCTAGCAAGACAAGTCCTATCAACTATCTTTTGAACACAGGCTAAGATCGCGAATATCCCACGTCCTAAAGCCAAGTCCCACAACCGCCTCATCGGTTGTTTATTCTGGACTCATCTATAAACGAAACGAGCCCACTCGACGAAGCCGTCTGGTTTTTGCTTTAATCACTTATCAAGATTAGAAAAGTAAACCGATATGGACGGTTTGAACTTAAAAGTGATGGGATATGTTGTCCTGTACATAGGTTCTACAGCTAAAAGTATATGACAGCATGGTAAAAATGGTCAATGACTATCACAGTAATCAGTTAGACTTCTCGTTCCTAACTACTTCGTAGAACAGTTGTACCAATAGGCGGCCATCATGGCTTCGTGGTATACAATAGGACATCGGTAAACTATGTAACTAAATTCTGTCCCAGGCTTATAATACTGGAGATAAAGAGGACTATAAAGTAGTTGATCCACTCACAAATATTTAGCGAGGCTCAGCGAGGACAAAAGGAGCTCCAGCTAGCGGTCTTGTGCGGTACAGCGAGGAAAAGGCTCAAGCATTTAATAAAACAAGCCTTGACCGAAATAATGCTCAACATCAGGTCCTAAAGCCTATACAGAAGTCACAGGACTTATGTAAGTTGGTATATCCTCAAATGCATGACATATCATATTTACTCATTTCAATATTAAGAATCTTGCATCAGCGAAAGTAGAAATTCCTACCGAACGATATGAAAGGCATAATATGTAAGCCTTTACTTACTTTTAAAAGATAACCGTCCGCCAGAGACAAATAACAACCTCACCAGGTTGTGCAACAAAAAGAACAAGCGGCTTATTAGTGAATTTAATGGAAAGTTTAGAGGTTAAGTGAAGCACGACATGATTTAATTAACTTCAAATCTATTTAACTCAAAACCCAACTTAATCACAATTACTAATTACATTCATAATTATCTCTTAGAAGAATTCGAAAGTGTACCGTTTGTACATATGTGCATATTTAGGACACATATTACGAGGGGAAATATACACTTTTCAGCAAATAGTTCTATAACGAAAGATAAATGGTATCAGACATAATATTCGCCAATGGATATAACTCCACAGTTATGAAATTCTTCACCATGCTGCTAAAAATATACTAATTTAATCCTGACTAACATCTCAGCTAATGAAACAATGTAAAAAACAACAAAAAAATGTATTGGATATTACCCTAACTAGTTACTTTACTAAAAATATATTAGATTTCTGGCACTTCTCTGATGAGGCCTCAATGTTAAATCACAGAATCCCGCGTTTCGAGATTGAGACGCAGAGCTTGAGCAAATCAGTCGTATCATATACCGAAACAGACATAACTCTCTGTTAATACAAGAACACATTAAGGTATTTGATGGCACTAATTATACGACTGATACTGCAGAGCAACTCGAAACATCCGCACATTGGTTGCATACTACGGTAATAAATTATTAAGAGGAAAATTCACAATCAAAAAGAAATTCGTCAATAGAGATGTGCTTTGTTGGAAGAAGGAATTAATAAAACTAAAGACTAGTGCACGTAGAACCTTGAACAGAGCCAAAAGTTCAGCTAATTGGAAGGACTACAAAAGGCTCTGACAAATTATAACACTACAGTAAGAATTCAGTCAACAATTCAGTCTTAGCAGTGCGGCTTGAAAAAGTCATTTCAGAAGGCCACTCCAACGGCATTGGACTACTTAAAAAGCCAAAATATTCCAAAAGAATGGAAACAAGTTATGGTCTGGTTTATTCCTAAGTGTGGAAAACACCCTTCATAGGAACCAAATTTATATAGGTCCATTAGACTAACCAATTTTATCTTAAAAAGTATGGAAAATACTAAACACTTACAAAAAAACCAATTACTATTCAAGATTACCTCTTTACGAAGAGCTTATTTGCCTATCAATCAGGCAAATGCACAATCTTCTTTTAGTACTCTGTCCGATTATCGAACGTTGGCGATTATATTGGCAATAATAACTTTGTTTACGATCATTCGAAACAGATTAGCGGATGTCTCTCGATAGCATTCTTGAAGATTTTGGAGCAGGGATGTTCTTCTTCGAATGGGCCTCTTATTCCGGCGATCTTGCCCTGTATTATAAGCTGATATAATCTCTGATTGTCTCATGACATGGCCTAAATATTATAACTTTTGAATTTTTATTGTTTGTATTACTTCTGTGCTTTTGTTCATTCGGTATTAAACTATTTCATTTGCTATTCAATCAACGAAACTTAAGCGCAATATTCGTAAGTAATATGGCTTAATTTGCCAAATGCTGCGCAAGTTAGGCCTATTCGCCTCTGTATTTCAATGTGTTTGAATGTCTCTGCTTATTTTGATTTCGTGTGTCCCAGATATTTGTGTCTGTTTGTTGTATGTTATTATTGTCTATAGTTATATTTTCCACTCATTACGAGATTTGTTATAAGTTTTAGTTTTCTCAAAGTTTATCTTTAATCCTGCTCTTCAGACAGACTTTTAAGCGAATGCATCATAGAAACTGTATCTTGTAAATTATCTGGATTAATATAACATCATCTGCAAATCTTAGGTGGTTTAATCTTTTTCCATCTATATTGATGCCCATATCTTGCCATTGAGTGCTCTTAAATTTTGACTCTAGAGCAGCCGTGAACAATTTTGGTAAAATATTGTCTGCTTGTCTAACTCCTCGACCTAAGCTGAATTTTTCTGTGTCTTCGTGTAGTCGTATACTTGATGTAGCGTTCTCGTAGATGTTTTTGATTAGCGTCGTGTACCTGTAATCTATTCGGCTTTGATTTAGGCTTCCAGTATTGTTTCAAACTCTACAGAATCAAAAGCCTTCTCGTAATCGACAAATGCAAGAACCAGTGGTATGTTGTACTCGATGCACTCATTTGTCATTTGTTCCATATCCTGCCCTGAAGCCTGCCTCTTCTTTGGGCTGATAGAAATCAAGTTTAGGTGTTAGCCTCTTTGTTAAGATTTTCATAAAGAGTTTGTACATATGTGTCAAGAGGCTGATGGGTCTATAATTTTCTAATTTAGTACTATCACCTTTTTTGTGTAACAAGACTATTACTGCATTGTTCCAGTCTTTTGGAATCGTACGCGCATGTAAGCATTTATCAAACAGTTAGCTTACTGATTTTAATAAAATTTCTCCTCCTGCTTTTATTGCCTCGATAACGAGTCCATCATCACCAGGCGATCGATGGTTCTTCATTTCCTTTAAAGCTTTTAAAATTGTTATATAATCTATTTAATTTCTTATGATGCCTTTAGCATCTACTATGTAGATGCTATGTAGATGCATCTACTATGTAGATGCTAAAGGGATCATAAGAAATGTAGATGTAGATTTCCAAGTATATAGTATATAAACGACGCTTGGGTAGTTTGAAGAATGTATTTGTCACACAGAAATTGTTCTCTAGACAGAATTCTACAAAACGATCTCCTCTGTCATTACGTTGTCAAAGTTCGAAATTGGTTACAATGTTTTCTTGTCTTGGCATGTTTCCTTATTTTGGGCATTAAAGTTTTCCATTAATCTAATAATGTCTTATGTTGCAGATGACTTATTACTATCATTATTGCTCAATGTGGGCACATAAACTTACCCCAGATTTTAATATACACTGGCTTTGAGTTTTATTGCATCATGATGACTCTTTGCCGAAATTAATGTAACTTACAGATTTATTAATACAACTAGAGACTTCTTTATGTACAATAAATGTCACGCCCTTCCGGTGGTAGAAAAAAAGGTTTGTAAAAAAATATGGGGTCTGAAACCTAAAATGATCTATTGGCCATCTACTACGATTGTCAGACCTATAGATACTTATGTTGTGCTGATTTAGTGGAACAAAACAATTCAACAAAAGATTATAATAGATTATTTTTATATTATTGTATTATGAAGAGACAGATTTAGTTTCAATTCAGAGCAACTGCATATGTCACTCTGATGATACCTAATGAGGTTGAAATACATATAAGGGTTGGCGGATACCCTGCATCTAAATTAAATCTAATACCGTTTTTCTGGATTATAGTAGAGTTGCAAAAAATGACAGAACTCAGTTTGTATAGAAATTCCTGGTGCAATGCGATTGTGCCCTACTACAGTCTTCAAGAAAATGCTGGACAAAGGGTTACTGATCCAGAACTGAACACCAGACTTTCTTCGAAAAGACATACAATATTACAAGGATGACTCTTAGCAGTTGATGATTGTGCTTCAAAATGCCTAGAAAAAACATCTCAATTTAGCACAAATATTTATTGCCAGATAGTCAAACTGCAATAAAAGCTTTGAAGTCCAAGTTAAAATAGAGTCCAAGTCCATTTGGAGGATTAGCTGGTTTGTGATTGGATTGGATATATTTTGTGTCATCAGCGTAGAATGATATTTTATTTGAGACGTAATAAGGAACATAGCTGGTGTAAACCGTAAAAAGCTGACCAAGGACAGAACCCTGAGGCACTCCACCTTCCACTAACCTTTCCTGTGAGAAAGATTCGTCAACTCTAACTTTGTAATATCGATCTGTCAGAAATCATTTTATCCAACGAAGTAAAGTACCGCGAACTCCGAAATGTTCTAGCTTATGTAGAAGTCTGCGCTTAGGTACACGGTCAAAGGCTTTAGAGTTGTTGTGTTAGAATAACATGTTCCTGGAGAAGGAATTTGGTCATCATCTCGGAAATAATGGCTTACATAACTTTGGCAACTACTGGCAGCCAGCTAATCGAACGATAATTGTTGGGGTCGAGTTCTTTGCCTTTTCGACCTAGGTCGAAAAAACGGAAGCTATTTTCTAACTAGGTGGTAAGGAATTATGCATGAAAGAAGTTTGAATAATTAACGTTAAAAGTATTGCAGGTGTGTCTGCGCACCTTTTATAACAGTTTTGGTTGTTAAACCATCTAAACCAGGTGAAGCGGCTGTGCGAGTTTAATTAAGTGTTGTTTGACATGATCCGCTGTGAATTCAACTTGCTGTAAGGATGCGCCGACACGATTACAGTTAATAGCAGGTAGATGCGATTCTTTAGTAAAAACCTGTGAAGATGCTAAAGAGAGAGTAAATTTGACGTGTGTCGTCAACCAACTAGCAGGTATAAATATGATCAATGTGTAAAGTTATATTACGAAAATATAAATATAATCTTATCATTAACCAAATCAAGAGAAGAAATAGTTACACGAATGATGGGAGATTTTAACGCTTTTTCATTTCTCTCCGTACAGTCCGTTGGTGATAAGTTTTCTTAACTTGAAGCTAGCGATTTAAGCTTTCACTCTCAATATTGGCGTACTGATAAAATAGTTTAATGACACCAGAAAAGTTAGGAGACTAAAGGGCCAAGAAAAAGAAGAATAACAATTAGTAGGTACAAACGACAAAAAGTTCATACGACAACACTAAAACAACAATTGAAATCATAAATCTCGGAAAAATAATATTAGAAATAAGATTAAAAAAATCAGGATATTCAAAAAAATGGACAAAAAGAAGAATTTTCAACATAAATGATAATACAATTAGAAATTTAAACTACAGTAAAGTGAATTCACATATAGAGTAATAATGAACTTTACTGTCGATTTAATAAGAATAAAAAAAATTAAATGCAAATTGGTTTCGTTAAAAATACTTACTTCCAAATCAATAGAGTCTACTGACTTTGTATCTTCCTCTTGTTTTGCTTTCTCTTTTTCCCTCTTTTCTAAAATTTGGTTTCTTCTTCTCATTTCAACTAAATGCCTCCATTGTACATCAGCATCTTCATAGACCTTTCTTCTTGCGTTGGGTGGTCTCTCTATGATATTTGGGTTAACAAGTTTGTATCCTTGCTGTTGCGTTAACATATTGTAGAATTTTTTGTATTCGAATGGAGGATAGAATTTCCCAGTGGAATATCTTAAACATCTGTAACAGAGAAAAACGTTCTAAGGCAATGAATTTTGACAAGAGCTATGAGTCATGCCTATTTAGTACACAAGTTTACCTGTTATTTACAAGGTCATAGCTCTTTTCAAAATCCATTAGCTATACATACTTTTAGCTAAAATAGGAACAGGAATTGGTATTTATATATGCCATTTGTACTAAACTTGTGTTTTAGGGATCATTTTGTTAATTGGCCGAAGACTTTTTGAATCTTCATTGTAAAAAATAAATAATTAAATAAAATTGCTAACCTACACAAAGTTATACTGAATAAAATAATATAATTGCTTTAATAACTCAGGATTTCAACAAATGCCCACTGTAAGACTAAAGAACAGCATCGCGAATATAACAGTAATTGGTATAATATAATTAAAATAAACAAATATGTGGAATAAAGACACTCTATCTTCGCCACTCTCCAATTCGCGAATCTAACTGTCATAAGAAATAAAAAGAATTCAAAAGTTTTATTTAAAACACGTGTATAAAAGGTATATAATTAAAAGACCCTTTCGGGCTACATCAGAGAACGTTTTCCGGCTAACAAGTCCGAGTCTGGAGTGCATTTACCTGGAGACTGAAGATTTACCTGGACAAGTATTACCACTTTACTGAATACAAGCGTAAGAAATAACCTTTTGACTAAGATTTAAAAAAAACAATGTGGTTTACCAAGTGTACATATTTCTAGCCACTAAATATTTGGGTAAAAATCCTTAAAATGGTACAAAATTTGTTATATGTTAAAATTAAGTGTGAGGTTAAAGTTTTTAACAGAAACTTTGCACGGCAACGTTAGACTCCCAATTTGAGTTTGCTGTCCCTGAGTCAATGTCTCTGTATGGGGTCTAAATTTAAATGACATTTTTAGGACAGATGTATGAACCAAGCAGTCAATGTTACTTGTAGTTGGTGTCTTAATGTGACACTAGCCAACAATGTGTTAAACGAATATGTTAAAAATTTTATTTTGTTGTTACTATTACCAGAAATCACTAGCGTACCTATAGTAAATATGATAGATCATATTATTGTAAACTGAAGACACTATAGTGTATTTTTATGTATGAGAGAGTAATAAAACAATAAATTATGTATGCAAATCCCTAAACTGTTGATACGAGTGACTCAATGAAAAACAAATATTTGTCAACAAGTTTACAGAAGTATATAGGAAAACAATTTTAAATTGAGTATGACCACCAGGTATAAAGGTTGGAGCAGAATAGAATACAATAGTTGTGAGGGTTACTAATCCCTAAATAAGGTTGCCAGTGTCGGAGTGATGGAGGTTAACAGGTACTTATGAATTTGCAAGAAATGTAAGATGTTTATTTTATTGGTTATATATCCAATAAAAGTTTAATAAGTACCTACCTATTTGCAAAATAAAGTTTAATTCTTTAGATAAAATAAAACGTTTTATTTTATCTGAAATGAGTGCATTCCACGAAGTAAGGGTTTCAACAATCAAACATTTAATTCTTTAATTCCAGGAATCTACGACAGTAATTGACTAGATAATTACCTTCTAAACTTATTCCACAGAAAATGTGATAGTGGGTTTTTCCATTTTGTAGGAAGGTCCAAGTGGCGTATTCAAAATTCTTAACAGTTCACTAAAAGTAGGTACTTCAGTTGCAAGGTGCAGTTTATTGTGTATACTAGTGTTATGGAAAATTTGGAAGTGCCGTGTAAACGCCGAAAAATTGGTCCTTTAACAGTTAATGAAAAAACAGTAATATTTAATTGTTTTAAATCATTTACAGACAAACGTTTATGTGAAGTGTTGATGAGACCGTTGAGTTAGTTAGCAGTACACTTGGTGTTGGGAAATCTACGATTTACAGAGTTATTAAAGAAGAGAAATGTGGTAGTTTTCAAATGCCACGTAATGCTCCAGGGAAACCAAAATTTCAAATAGAATATCATTTTAAAGAAGGACTTCGACGGAAAGTGCATGAATTCTTCTTTAGACAAGAATTTCCAACATTGGATAAAGTTCTTGTCTCAGTTCGAGATGATAAGGATTACCCAGAAATGAGTCGAAGTACGTTATGGAAACTTTTAAAAGAAATAGGCTTCCGCTGGAAAAAGAATCCCAGAAAGTCTATTTTATTAGAAATAGGCGATATTGTCATATGGAGAAGACATTTTCTAAGAACCATAAAGGAAATGAGAAACCAAAAAAGAAAAATATTTTATCTTGATGAAACATGGATCAACGAGGGTCATACACCAAATAAATTTTGGCAGGATGAAACTGTTACAAGTCAAAGGCACGCTTTTGTAAATAACTTATCTACTGGTTTAAACCCACCACAGGAAAGGGACGCAGGCTGATAAAAGTACACATTGGCAGTTCAGACGGTTTTGTTGAAGGTGGTTTATTAACTTTTGAATCAACTCGTACCGGTGACTACCATGAAGACATGAACGCTGATGTCTTTCAAGAATGGTTCGAACAAATGATAGATCTTCTTCCTAAGAACTGTGTAATAGTAATGGATAATGCAAGTTATCACTCCAGACTTATAGAAGGACTACCCACAACCAAGTGGTTAAAAAAAGACTTGCAGAATTGGCTGAGTTCAAAAAATATTACGTACCATCCCGGATCTATAAGAAAGGAACTTTATTCGTTGTGTGCCCTTCATAAAGAAAAATTTAAAAAATACGAAATTGATGAAATTGCCAAAAATCGTGGAATGACAGTACTTAGATCCCCACCATATCATTGTGAATTAAACCCGATTGAACTGGTATGGGCACAGATAAAGAGTGAAGTTTAAAGAAAAAATACCACTTTTAAAATTCATGATGTTAAACAGTTGTTTTTGGAGGCCGTAAATACTGTAAAACCTGAAAACTGGGAAAAGGCAGTAAATCACATTATTAAAAAAGAGGAAAAAATGTGGAAGCTGGACAATATTACTGATAAAATGATCGAGCCAGTTATTATAAATCTTGGTTCTGAGAAAGTTCATCTTCTGAATCTGATTTGGATTTGTAACAAGTAGCTGTAAGTTTTATATTAATATGTTTATTCATCTATTTAACATACCTTAGACGGTTTTAAAAACTCTTTTTCTCTTTTGTAATTTTTAAAAATTAAAAAAAATGTGAATTTTTTAAAACCCTTTTTAATGTAGGCCAGTCAGTTCTAATATAGTGTGTGATAAAAGAGGTCACTTTTGTTTACATACACATAACACTTTATAACACTGAAATAATTAATTTATTTTTTACAATTATTCAAAGTAATTTTTCAATTAATCTTGAGCACGCCCATGGAGTGGTCGGAGGTACCAGTTAAAATTATGCTAATTACTCTCTCGTTCATAAAAATAAACTATAGTCGAATATAAACATATTATAAAAATATAAATCGTAAACATAAAAACATAAATGATGAGTGGGAAAAGTGCAAAATCATCATAAAAAAGCTGTTAAAGAAGAAGAAGGCATGGAAAATAAACAAAGAAGAACAAGAACAAATGACTGGTTTAAAAAGAATGTTAAATTATAACAGAAAGAAAAAAAAACAGAAGATATTTACTGATGCAACAGAGGCATAGAACACGACAAGCAGAGGATGAATATAACAAATACGTAAAGAAGAAAAGTTAACCCACCGAAGAAAGAAAAGAGAATATCAAAACAAAGTTTTACCAGAAATAGAAAAGAACTGAAAAAATTCAAACCAAGAATAACATTATCTAGAGATAAGGAGGATAATATTTTGACAGAACAACAAGAAATACTAAGAAAATAGACAGAACATTTTAATGAAAACCTTAACACACCCACTTATCATTGTAGTGGAAAAGCAGTATTTATGCAACATTGCAAAAAAATGGCAACATCTACAATGTAGAAACTACCGTAGAATCACGCTGATGAACGCAACATACAAAATAATGTCCAATTTATAACAGACTTGAACCACACGCTGAACAAATAGTTGGCTAATACAAAAACAATAATTGAAAAAAGTGTGCAAATACTAGCGTTTGCAGATGATGTTGACATAATCGCAAAATTAAAACGAGAAATGATAGAGACATTCAATTAAATAGAACGAGATGCATAAAATAGTATCCGTGAAATCAATCATGCCAAAACAAAATATATACATGTAAGTAAAAACGCAGAAATAAGGCAGCTACAAAATCTAACGATAGGAGAATACAACATCAACGGGTAAAAAACTTTTTATACTTAGGATCCCTAGTTACATGTGATAAAAACGTTGTAGAGAAACTGAAGAGGCGAATATTAATTGCTAATAAATGTTCATCAATTAGCCTATTTTATTAGCCTTTCAACTGCATCTGTCACTCCTGTTCTTCTTATTATTTCTAGGTTTGGTACTTTATCTCTAATGGTAATACCTAATATTGAACTTTCCATAGCGCGTTGTGTAACTCTTATTTTATCTATTGTTTATATCTGTCTAATTCCACGTTCTATTCGAAACTTCTTAGTATTGTTACGAACGTGCATTTAACGAGGCACGTATAACGGTTGCATCTCGAAACAGCACTCATGCTTCCATGCGGCGGCATCTCGAAAGCGATCGATATTTCGAGAAAGATCAGTCGCGTACGCCTAGAGGTGGGAACTTTCTAGAAAATAGTAACTTTGGTATATATATATGTAACGATCTTATGGAATAAGTTAGTTGATAAGAGAATACCGAACTGTAAAGTTATAAGATAATATATATTTATATAAATTCGAACCGCTCGTTTTATTTAAAAATACGCTACAGTTGTGGTGTCACGTGTGAGGACAATTGATTTATTTAAAAAATAAATTTTAACAGTGAAAAAAAAAAGAGACTTTTGAACTTTTGAAAAGTAGTGTTCGTCGGAACATCCGCGTAGTTCGGTAGTGATCGTTGTACGAAAGAACATTTTAAAAGTACGTGTGTGCCTGATCAAAGATGCTGCTATTAGAACTTTCAGTGAAAC